GAGATAACAGTGTGGAGCTGGAGGAACACAGCAGGCCAGGCAGCATCAGAGGAGCAGGAAAGCTAACGTTTCAGGTCGGGACCCTTCTTTTTCTGAAGGGTCCCGACCTGAAACGTTAGCTTTCCTGCTCCTCTGATGCTGCCTGGCCTGCTGTGTTCCTCCAGCTCCACACTGTTATCTCTGACTGCAGCATCAGCAGTTCTTACTATCTCTGATTGGGTAGATTACAGGTGTTTTGTTGGCCACAGAAGTGAATGCAGAATGGTATGTTGCTGCTAGGGTCAAGGATTTAACTGAGCACTGTGCAGACTGTGAATAACCAGTACTCATGGTCCATCAACAACCATAGTGTACCAACAACAAATTCATCCAAGAAACTGGCAAACAGCTAAAACTGGAGTAAGAAATGGTAAGGTATTGGGTGGGGTCAAAATTAAGAGGGAATGTATTCAGATCTAAAGGAGATTTACTGTGCATATATGTGAAAACATGGAAGGTGGTAAATAAGATTGATGAGCTGCAGAGGCAAGTGGTCATGTGCAAATAAAAGGCAAATGCAAAGTTTCTGCAGTCCTACTTGACCAAAATGGACCATCATTAGAGAGAAATGACTATTGGTGGTTTAACCTGAGGGCCACAATGCCTCAGATGAGGGGAAAGGTTAACAGTGAGACGTAGAGAAGGAGAGTCCTTCTTGGTAACCTCAGCTGGTGTGGAATTGAACCTACGCTGTTAATGTCATTCTACAGCACAAACCAGCCTTTAAGCCAACTGAGCTAACCAACTAAATTGGAATCAAATTAGACAACGTTTTTATGAAGGAAATAATTTTGAAGATAACATTGAAGTGCATTCCCAGGAGGGAAAATGCTACAGTGTGCTCTGCTACTCTAACACAATAATGTCTCTACATCATCCATTCTAATTTCGTGATTGAGTTCTTTGATATCTTGTTCCAACATTTTGGTAGTCTACCTCAAATTTCCTCTGCCTTGGTATCGTTTTATCATTCTTCAAAGGCTTCTCGTCTTTCCCATCTTTCTGCTACTTCCTCCACTTCTCCTGCTGCAACTGCTTTGAGTCCATTGTCAGGTTGCAAAGGATTTTGGAACAATTATGACACTAGGAAGAACACATCTTTGAAAGTTATTGGTTGTTAGGATTTACTTTTGAAGAGGTTAGAAAGCTACTATGGGGAAATATCAGATTCCCAGGAAAAAGGTGGACTGGATACAACTAATTATTGATATAGAGATATAAAATGGTTAGATGCTCTTAAAGTGGACAAAATAACATGCATTGTATCTCAACTAATAAGGCAACCAGTTATTCCATATGGAGTAGAAGGTCTTAAATCCAGATCCTATGTTCTTTGTTTAAGAACGGATGTAACTGCATTGGGGTGATTGAGAGGATTTTACTTGATTCATACGTGAAATGAGCGTTTGTTTTATGAAGATACATTGGACTGTCTGAACTTGTTTCCACTGGAATTTAGAAGAGTGACTCAATTAATGTATATAAGACCCTGAATGATATTGACAATGTGGATGTAGAAAGCAGACAAAAAGAGACGTTGCTGGAGAAACTCAGCAGGTCTGGCAGCATTTGTGGAGAGAAAAACAGAATTAACTTTTTGAGTCCAGTGACCCTTCTTCAGAACTTGTTTCCTCTTCTGGACCAATTCAGAACTGGCGGGCACTGTTTTACTATCAGAAGGTCACCGTTTTGGAACAGAGATGGGGAATTTTTTTGCCTTACCGGTTTGTATAACATTGGAACTTCCTGTTTCAGGAGGTGGTGGGGTTGGGGCCATTGATTACTTTTGGGACCCAGGTGGATGGATTCTTGTTAGGCTGGGGTATCAAGGGATATTGATGAATGGATGAATGGGAATGTCGAATTAAAATGCAAACAGATCAGCCTCAATCTTACTGAATGATGGAGTAGACCTGAGGGGGAGATTGGTCTACTTCTGGTCCTGTTTCATTTGTTTGTATGGCTTTAGGTTAATTTTGTTCTTTACTTTTTAACTAATCTCAAATGCATGGCAGTTTGGTTGCTACATTTTAGTGAAAAATTGTTATCAGTGTTTCTACTCACTATGATGCCAGTTGAGGACACAATAAAATTTGGTTGTATTGACTCCCTGATCCTTGCACAAATGGATCTCACCATCTGGACTCACATATGACAAATATACTCCTGAGTAAAATGCCCAGTTGCCTGTGGAACTTCAGCAGGAAAGAAAGGGACAAAATAGTGTCTTGGCAAAAATTGTGTAGACTTATTTTAATATTTATAGCCCTGCCTCCAAAGAATCTAAACTGAAATACAATGGCCACTTTTGTCCCAACCATTTAGATTAAATCATAACAGCTGGTGCTAATGTTTTATTCTAGTGGACACAACAAGCTTTGTTGCAAATGAGGACACACACCCAACTATTCACAATAAATTTAAATCTGAACACATGGTTGTTCATAATAGATGCACTTTAAAAATAGCTTTAGTGTTTTTCTGCTTATTCACAGGGGAAATATTCAACTGTAAATAGCTATCTGAGTAGCACTTTCAATCACCTTTTGATCTTTAATAGTCTAAGAATGAAAAACAAAGTGTAGTTTTTTGTTGTGAAAATGTTATAATACTCTAAAATGTTAACCTTGAACTTTTTTTTTCCCCTATAGATACTGCTACAGATGAGCTGTACAATTACTTCTTTTCATACTGTTCTT